TGCAAGAAAAGCCACGAGGTACAGCAAAACCCACTATAAGAGTTTATTAAGGGGAGGAAATAGAAGGGATGTGCGTAGGCCTATGGAAAGATCGTGCAGGAAGAGAGGGAGGGACATGTGGAATCTGCTTTCAAAGATTCTTCCTGCACATGTGTATATGGGCTTATGTAGCTATGCCACACATGAGCAAAGATTATGTGATCACGTAGTGCACGGATTACATAGGACATAAGGCTCTGATATGACTAAACTTCTTGCCAGCACATGATCGATCATGGGGGAGTGGCTAGGAATTCTAACACTGTGTATCACACAGTGTACCCTTTTGTCCAAACAGCTTTACTTGTAAATGATCATTGTGTAATGTGTTGTTGGTCAGGTACAAGGCCTCTAGCTTTTGGTACACCATCAGTACTGGACCCTCACTGAAACTCCTCTCGGATATCCTGCTGTTACCCCTAGTCATGGAGATCCTCAGAGTGGTCCCTTCATGCACTCCAGCAGGTCATAGATGAGGTAGATGATGGGCCAACTCAAAGCCCTGAATGTGTGTCTGTGTAGTAGCTGAGTTAGTCTGACTGGGTTGTTATTCGAATTGCTAAACGGTCTTATTAATAAAAAAAAACCCAGAGCCTGATATTGGGGTGAAAGCTGATAGACCAGAGAAACAGAAAAAAGCCAGCTAACCTCACCTCATCAACTCCTCAGCCTCCAGAGAAAGCTACTTCCTGTATACCCATGCATATATGCCTTGTGTGCGCTGCAATCTTACTTCCTTTCCACATCCAGCTACATCACTTCCTCTCTCTGCCCAGTTCTATCATTTTCTGTCTGTCTGTACAGACCTCCAGACCTCTGTGGTTAGTGCTGGGATTAAAGGCATGTACCACCATGCCTGGCTGTGTTCCCAGTGTGGCCTTGAACTCACAGAGATCTGAATGGATCTCTGCCTCCTGAATGCTAAGGTCAAAGGCGTGTACTACCACTGCCTAACCTCTATGTTTAATATAGTGGCTGGCTCTGTCCTGTGATCGCCAGACAGGCTGTATTAGGGCACACAAATAATATATCACCACACTAGACTGCTGTGACCACTCCCCTCAGAGTGAGAATCAGAGACAGCTCTCTCACACTCCTGGTGAGGGGTGATCCCAGCTTTCCCAAGTGGAGGAAGGAAGGGGGCAGATCTTCTATTAGGGGTAGGACCAGCTCTCCAGTGCCAGGGTTATCAGGTTCCATTATCCCAGGGCCAGTGAGGGGTGGGGTCAATCTGGAACACAGACCCCAGCTGTGGCAGGACCATGGATTCTGGATCCCGACATGGCCAGCAGCAGCAGTTTGGACCCAGATGTCACTATGGCCCTGATGGCAGCACAGGCCTCTCAGATTGGCATGGGACCAGAAACAACATGGTCCTTGGACTTTGACATGGCCCCAGGTGGTGGCCCAGACCACAGGCAGAAGCATGGCTTTTGATGGTAACAGGAGCCATGGACCTCAACACAGGCCCTGGCTGCAGCAGGTTCACATACCCAGACATGGTCCTTCGTAGCAGCCCAGGACTGGATATGACCTTGGCCTTGGGTGGCAAGCAGGCCTCCCACATCAGCCCATTCCTCCATGCCTTTACCTCTCAGATCTGACTCTCTCCATACAACATGAACAATTCCGCCCCTCTTATTCTCCAATACCCCGTCACATATTTGCTTGCCACAATGGCATCCAACCACCCAGTCCTATTGGTGCTAGACAGGCCCATGGCTTCTTCCTTCCACCTAGGGCAAAGCCCCTGGGCAAGTATGTGTGTGTCCATCTCCAACCATCCTGTCCTAATGGTGCCTAGCTGGCCCATGGTTTCTTCTCGTCATTGGGGCTCTTAGTTTCTTTGTTTGTTTCTACGTATGAGAGAACACTGTGTTCTTGTGTCTTTCTTATTTTATTGACTTGATGCCTCCATATTCTATATATATTTTTTCTGAAAATGAGAGGATTCCACTTTTCTTTATGGTCAAGTATTACTTGATTCTGTATATATGCCATTAATTCCTTATCTACTCACTAGTTGATGGACTTTTGGGCTGAGTCCATATCATTAGCATGTAAAAAGCAGGGAGAGATTGGTGTCTTACAGATAGAGTACTATGATTGCAATCCCTCAGATGGTCCTCTGTGAGGTTGAGTGAGGTAAACAACAGGAAGCAGATGGCCAACACAGGACTCTTGGTGATGTTTCTGTCACATGCCTACATAGGAGCAAGTCAGTCTTTATGAGAACTGTACAGTCTATGTAGTAGAAAGGGCAATAACTGTTGTGATTTTTCTCTGAAAATATGCAAATTTAAGAAGAAACCATACCTCATCCTAGGTTCTTATTTTGTCTCTGAGAAGGAGCCCAGTGAGGAGAATGAGAGGAACTGAGCTATGGGAAGGTCAGTGTATATAAAGCTAAAGGAAAGGCAAAAGTGGAAAACGCCATGCCTAAAGTCTTGCCATGAGTTATCAATTAGCATTTTCCTTTTTAATCTGAGAGGAAATCACCCAGATTTCTTTGGCTGAGGATCATTGCTTTAACATCACTAACACTGTCCACATTGCTGAGGTCAGTTGTAAAACATCATGATTTATTTGAACTGGTTCCTTGGACTATAAGGAGATCTACAGTGTGTCTTTAGTTAAAACAGACAGAAATTGGATATGTTTCTATCTATTCTCAGAAACCATGAATCCCTTGTGGCTTGATATTGGCACTGATGGTAACAGATTTGAAAGTGTTCTGTTTTTTTCTCTGGTACCAAAAGTAGCAGCTGGACACACAAGGATTACACAGACAACATACTACTGACCATGAACTTCCCAAGGAGTGAGAAGGACTTCCAGCTAGGCCAGCCGGTGGTTGGGTCCTACCCTCCTGGAACAGCAGAAGCTGCTGATCTTTCTGAAGGGTCCCGGGGGTAAGTGAGCATGAGAACAGTACATACAACTGGGGAAAAGACTGCTTCCTGGCTAAACTATGGTGGTAGGTAATTTTAGTTCTCTATTTCATTAATTCATACCCTATTCGTCCCTAACAATCACTTACTATATGATTGGTTGTGTCTCAGCCTTGAAGGGGGTCTGTAATAAGTGAAGGCACTCAATTAAAAATGAGTGGTATTCTTCTGTAAATTGGTGCAGAAATGTGAGAGAGGGTCCTGATGAAATGATGAGACTTCAACTCAATTTTGTTTCTAAATATATAACCAGACTAGTGTGTGTATCCCCAAATGCATCCAGTGGTTATATCCTCAATTACTGTGCATAATTGGAGTAAATATACTGAGAAATTGGTAGAATCTCCACATTGGTTTCCTGGCCTGTGGAGTGAGGTATATTGTGGTTAGAAAGGCCAGTAGAAGCTGTTATATGTGCTTCTACTTGAGAAAATAGTGAGTCAAGGTCAGTAATCATGTCCTTGGAAAAATTACAGAGAGAGTGCCACCACCAAGAATTTGAAAGATGCAAGGTAATGGTTTCAACTACATCTCTGTTTAACTTTCCTGTTTGGCCTGTGCAGAAGACAGATAAACCTTAGAGCATGACAGTTTTGTCTAATTAGGTGGTGGATCAAATTGCTGCTGCTATACAATGTGAATTCTTTCTTTCTTTCTTTCTTTCTTTCTTTCTTTCTTTCTTTCTTTCTTTCTTTCTTTCTTCCTTTCTTTTTTCTTTCTTTCTTTCTTTCTTTCTTTCTTTCTTTCTTTCTTTCTTTCTTTCTTTCTTTCTTTCTTTATCTATTTGTCAGATAAGTTATCTCCTGGTACTGCATGCAGCAACTGATCCTGTAAATGCTTTTCTCTCCATACCTGTCTATAAGGTCCAACAGAACCAATGTACCTTCAGATTGGTGTATTTTGCTTTAAATATTGAAATTAATTCACCAGTGAAGCACTCTCTTATGACTATTGCTACCATTCCTTCACTTGTTATGTGACCATTCATATTTTAAATTCTTCTGTAGTAGTTATTTTTGAGTTGCTTTTTATTATTTTTTTTATCTTCCTACTATTTGTTCTCATTTCATTTAATTGTATAAACTGTTTGCACAATGGTGATCACTATGTGACTTTAAGTCCATTCAGTTTCTGTAGTGTTGGTAATGATGTCTCCTTGCTCATGAGCTGTTTGGAATCTTTGATGCTAACAGTGACGGCTGAGCTAGAGTGGGGATGCAATGATGAAAACACCAACTATGATTCCTAGGTGGTAGGCCTTCCTTCCTCTGCTGAAGCAAGATCAGTCACATGATTGGCAGTAGCCAAGGGCTGGGGGACATGTCTCAAAGAAAGGCTCTCCTCTTCTATAAATGATTTGAGGCAGAAAACAAGAATCAGAATACTTTGTTGTGGACTCAAATAGACATTAATGACTTATACAATATGATCCTAATTATATTGTCATTTTCCACTTTCCATATTTAACTACAAATTTCTTTTTAAATATGTTTTTATGTTGTATGCATATGTTACATGGATGTTTGGCTGTGCACCACATGCATGTCTAGTACCCACAAAGATCAGAGGAGGGGGTCAAATAACCTGGAACTGAAGTTACATATGTTTATGAGATGCCATTTGGGTGGTGAGCACTAAACTCAGGTCTTCTACAGGACCAATTAGTGAGCTTAACTGCTGAGACATCTCTCAATCCTCCTATAAGAACTGAAGAAATGTTTCTTATTTGTCCTGGTAATCCTAGAAATAGGTATGTTATATGACACCTAAAAAATATATTGCTAACCTTTGAATGTTCATTCAGATTCAGTTTAACACACACACACACACACACACACACACACACACACACACACACGACAAAGTTATATTCCAAGTTGTCTTTCCATGTCTTTTTTTTATTGATAGACAACAGAGGGATATGAAAATGATGGGTTTATGTATCACAGGGGGCTTTATCTATGCTTAAAGGCAAAACAACAACAAAAACTGTTACAAATAGACCATATAATCACAAAAATACTTTATTTTGAAACAAACAGCATGTATAGTTCTTGAGACTTTATTGCAGGTCACTTGTTTCTATGTACTAATGAATAAATTTGATATGATGAAAGACCCATGCCAACACAGAGATTCTGAACACAGGGACCAAATGGTTAACAATTGTTGTTCACTATTAGGGGACAAGAAAATGTTACTCCTTTGTTCTACCACAATCCCCTGAAACATTATTTTAGATTTCCAAGAAATACCTGTGTCTCTTTGGCCACTATTTGCAGGTCTGAGCTTTGGATGATGCCAAGATCATGAAAATCAAGAGTGAGTCACTGAACACATCCATTCAACACATTACTGGTATTCACTTTTTAAACAGCCACATTTTAGGAACCTTTAGCATTGCTGCCTTGTGATGGCTGGATTTTCTGCATTAGCATGAAGATGGACTCTCTGCTGTAGAGCTCCAATTTTTTTTTTATTCTTAAGAAACTAATTGTTTCTCATATGCAGGGTTACACAGTGACTTTGATTTCGTGTTGGATCCATTATTTGAGTTACAAGACAGGAAAATCACATTCTAGAATAAAGAGCACATGTGATTTCAGATTACAAATGAATATATATACACAAATATATATATGTGTATACATTTAGGAAGGTAGATAGATACATAGACACATGTAGATACATGATAGAATTTCATTCAGTGTTGTACATAGAATTTTTAGCTGTTCCAAGATGGGAATACCACCTCATTAAGTTATGCACATATTTAATGCATATAATCTAATCTTCATTCTATACTCTAGCTAAGGATCTGGTTAGAGTAAACCTCTTTGGTTCAGTTACTGAAGACATGCACTCTGAGAGCTGGCTGAGAAGGGTTATACTCAATTATTAAACGTCATTGCCTTAGTATCTTTGATGTAGGAAAAATTCAAGTGTGCAATTGGTCTTTACCAAGTCAAGGATTTTAATGAGACTTGTCTCTGTAGGAGAAAGTATTCCTACTTAGAAGGGAGGCATCGGCTCCAGCAAACAACATAATCCCAGGAGACAAATTTAACTTCTTAGAGCCTCAGTTCCTTTGTTTGCAAAAGGGAAGGAAAGAACCAGGTGATGTGCTAGGGTCACCTGTTTTCATGTCCAGATAATCCACATCAGCTACACAATTAGCTTCTACCGCTTCACCTACTGTCCTACCTTCCTGTCCAAACCACCTGTTCACATCATGGTAACTGATTATTCTATCTGCATTCATGGCATAGATCAGCACATCCCAGAGGAACACCAGACAAGATTCTGGGAGGCCTGTAACATACTCACCCGAGAGAAGTCAGAGTGATCCTGTTCCCACCACAACATGGTAGTGAGCACAGCCATACCAAGTTCCAACACACTGCAGATCAGCATCAACAAGAGTGCTCCCTAAATTCAGGAGAAGAGAGTTTGGAGTGACTATGTCAGCTAAAGCCTGCATGCCTTGGTGGGAAGTGACTGTAGAGATGAAACCATCACCACTATCAGAGAGTGAAGAAAAGGACACCATGAAGAAGTGACATGGATTCCCCAAAACTAGGCTTAAATCGATGCCTGGTCTCTTCATTCCTTGAGGAGAAATGGGTAAAAAAGACAAACTAGATCTTGCTCCGGACGTCCCTTTTGGAACAATCGTGAGTACCCTTCCTTGCCCCAGACCCCATCCCTGGGCACCAGCCACTCCAGGGAAGACCTGCCCAACTCGGCCCCAGGTTCTGGCCACCGGGCAGGTTCCCTGCTAGCCCCACCGGGAAGGATCCCCTTCTCCAAGACCCCTGGCAGACCCTGCAGTCTCCACGCCCTGCCCCCACGCCCATCCGCCTGAGCCCCAAGCCTCTTCCTGAGACTTAGAGGCCGGCCCCCAGCTCCCATCTTGCTCCGGACGTCCCTTTTGGAACAATCGTGAGTACCCTTCCTTGCCCCAGACCCCATCCCTGGGCACCAGCCACTCCAGGGAAGACCTGCCCAACTCGGCCCCAGGTTCTGGCCACCGGGCAGGTTCCCTGCTAGCCCCACCGGGAAGGATCCCCTTCTCCAAGACCCCTGGCAGACCCTGCAGTCTCCACGCCCTGCCACCACGCCCATCCGCCTGAGCCCCAAGCCTCTTCCTGAGACTTAGAGGCCGGCCCCCAGCTCCCATCTTGCTCCGGACTTCCCTTTTGGAACACTGACTTCCCTTTTGGAACACTGGTCTGTCTGAACCAAGTGTGCGGATAAGGCCAAGAACGAACCACAAGGAGATGGGCAGACGTCAAGGCAGAAACATATACAACAAAATGAATAGCAATACAGCATCACCAGGCCCTAGCCCTCCTCCAACACCTAGACCAGAACATCAGAAATTGGAAGAAGCAGAAGAAAACAGCCTTATGAATGACATCATGAAGAAGCTAGAGGCTTGCGTAGAGGAAAAGACAAAAAAATGTGAAGAACGCTGTAAACAACTAGAGGAAAGGGCAAACAAATTAGAAGAAATCAATAAAGTCCTGGAAGAAAACAATAAAATACTGAGAGAAAATCAAGAAAAATCAATGAAACAAATGAAGGAAACAGTCCAAGACCTGAAAAGGGAAATAGAAAAAATGAAGAAGACACAAACAGAGGGAATGCTGGAAATAGAAAATCTGAGAAAACGATTGGGAACTTCAGATGCAAGTATAATCAACAGAATGCAAGAGATGGAAGAGAGGATCTCTAGCGTTGAAGATACAGTAGAAGAAATACATTCATCAGTCAAAGAAAACACTAAAACCAACAAAGTCATGAACCAAAATGTCCAAGAAATTTGGGACACCATGAAAAGACCAAACCTAAGAATAATAGGGGTCGAAGAAGGAGAAGAATACCAACTCAAGGGCACAGAAAATATATTCAACAAGATCATAGAAGAAAACTTTCCCAACTTAAAGAAGGAAATGCCTATGAAGATACAAGAAGCTTATAGAACACCAAACAGACTAGACCCCCAAAAAAAGTCCCCTCGCCACATAATAGTTAAACAACTAAACGTACAGAATAAAGAAAGAATATTAAGAGCAGCAAAGGAAAAAGGCCAAGTGACATATAAAGGCAAACCCATCAGAATAACACCCGATTTCTCAATGGAGACTTTGAAAGCCAGAAGAACCTGGACAGATGTAATGCAGACACTAAGAGACCATGGATGTCAACCTAGACTAATATACCCAGCAAAACTTTCAATCACCATAGATGGAGTAAACAAGACATTCCATGACAAAGCCAGATTTAAACAATACTTATCCACAAACCCAGCCCTACAGAAAGCACTAGAAGGAAAATTCCAACCTAAGGAAGTCAGATACACCCTCGAAAACACAGGCAACAGATAAAGCCACAGCAGTAAACCCCAACATATAGAAGTACCCACACATCACCACCAAAAAATAACAGGAATGAACAATCACTGGTCATTAATTTCCCTCAATATCAATGGACTTAATTCACCTATAAAAAGCCATAGGCTTACAAAATGGATACGAAAGCAGGACCCATCTTTCTGCTGCATACAAGAAACACATCTCAAATTCAAAGATAGACACTACCTAAAAATAAAAGGCTGGGAAAAGACTTTCCAATCAAACGGTCTTAAGAAACAAGCAGGTGTAGCCATCCTGATATCCAGCAAAATAGACTTCAAACTAAAATCAATCAAAAGAGATCAAGAAGGGCATTACATACTCATCACAGGAAAGATCCACCAAGATGAAGTCTCAATTCTGAATATTTATGCCCCAAACACAAGGGCACCCACATATGTAAAAGAAACATTACTAAAGCTTAAATCACATATAAAACCCCACACGTTAATAGTGGGAGACCTCAACACCCCACTTTCACCACTGGACAGATCTCCCAAATTGAAACTTAACAGAGAAATAAAGGACTTAACTGATGTCATGACTCAAATGGACTTAATCGATATCTACAGAACATTCCATCCTAACAAAAAAGAATATACCTTCTTCTCAGCACCCCATGGAACCTTCTCTAAAATTGACCACATACTTGGCCACAAAACAAATCTAAACAGATACAAAACAATTGGAATAACCTCCTGTGTTCTATCAGACCACCATGGTCTAAAGTTGGATTTCAACAACAACAAAAACTACAGAAAACCTGCAATCTCATGGAAACTGAATAATACCCAACTGAATCACCAATGGGTTAAGGAAGAAATAAAGAAAGAAATTAAAGACTTCCTAGAGATCAATGAAAATGAAGACACCACATATCCAAATTTATGGGACACTATGAAAGCAGTACTAAGAGGGAAATTCATAGCACTAAATGCCCACATAAATAAGTTGGAGAAATCTCACACTAGAGACTTAACAGCATACCTGAAAGCTCTAGAACAAGAAGAAGCACAATCTCCCAGGAAAAATAGACGCCAGGAAATTATCAAAGTGAGAGCTGAAATCAATAAAATAGAAACAAAGAGAACAATACAAAAAATTAATGAAACAAAGAGTTGGTTCTTTGAGAAAATCAACAAGATAGACAAGCCCTTATCCAAACTAACCAAAAGACAGAGAGAGAGCATCCAAATCAACAACATCAGAAATGAAAAGGGGGACATAACAACAGACATTGAGGAAATCCAGAGAATCATCAGGTCATACTTCAAAAACCTCTATTCGACAAAACTGGAAAACCTAAAAGAAATGGATAACTTTCTGGATAGGTACCACATACCTAAGTTAAATCAAGACCAGATAAACTATTTAAATAGTCCAATAACCCCTAACGAAATAGAAACAGTCATTAAAAGTCTCCCAACCAAAAAAAGCCCAGGACCAGATGGTTTCAGCGCAGAATTCTACCAGATCTTCAAAGAAGAGTTAATACCAATACTCTCTAAATTGTTCCACACAACAGAAACAGAAGGAACATTACCAAACTCCTTCTACGAGGCTACAATTACCCTAATTCCTAAACCAAACAAGGATACAACAAAGAAAGAGAACTACAGACCGATCTCCCTCATGAACATTGATGCAAAAATACTCAATAAAATACTGGCAAACAGACTCCAAGAACACATCAAAACAATTATCCACCATGATCAAGTAGGATTCATTCCAGGGATGCAAGGGTGGTTCAACATACGAAAGTCCGTCAATGTAATACACCATATAAACAAACTCAAAGAAAAAAACCATATGATCATCTCACTGGATGCAGAAAAGGCATTTGACAAAATCCAACACCCCTTCATGATAAAGGTATTGGAGCGATCAGGAATACAGGGAACATACCTAAACATAATAAAGGCAATTTACAGCAAGCCAACAGCCAACATCAAATTAAATGGAGAGAAACTCAAAGCAATTCCACTAAAATCAGGAACGAGGCAAGGCTGTCCACTCTCCCCATACTTATTCAATATAGTACTTGAAGTTCTAGCCAGAGCAATAAGACAACATAAGGAGATTAAGGGGATACAAATTGGAAAGGAAGAAGTCAAGCTTTCCCTATTTGCAGATGACATGATAGTATACTTGAGCGACCCCAAAGATTCCACCAAGGAACTGATACAGCTTATAAAAACCTTCAGCAACATAGCAGGATACAAGATCAACTCAAAAAAATCAGTAGCCCTCCTATATACAATGGACAAAGAAGCGGAGAAGGAAATCAGAGATACATCACCCTTTACTATAGCCACAAACGACATAAAATACCTTGGGGTAACACTAACCAAGCAAGTGAAGGACCTATATGACAAGAACTTTAAGTCCCTGAAAAAAGAAATTGAAGAAGATGTCAGAAAATGGAAAGATCTCCCATGCTCATGGATAGGCAGGACTAACATAGTAAAAATGGCAATCTTACCAAAAGCAATCTACAGATTCAATGCAATCCCCATCAAAATACCAACACAATTCTTCACAGACCTGGAAAAAATAATACTCAACTTCATATGGAAAAACAAAAAACCCAGGATAGCCAAAGGAATCCTGTACAATAACACAACTTCTGGAGGCATCACGATCCCTGACTTCAAGCTCTACTATAGAGCTACAGTAATAAAAACAGCTTGGTACTGGCATAAAAACCGACATGTGGACCAATGGAATCGAATTGAAGACCCTGACATTAATCCGCACACCTATGAACATATAATTTTTGACAAAGAAGCCAAAAGTGCACAATGGAAAAAAGAAAGCATCTTCAACAAATGGTGCTGGCAAAACTGGATATCAACATGTAGAAGGCTGCAAATAGATCCATATCTATCACCGTGCACAAAACTTAAGTCCAAGTGGATCAAGGACCTCAACATAAATCCAGCTACTCTGAACCTGCTAGAAGAGAAAGTAGGAAGTAGTCTTGAACGCATTGGCATAGGAGACTACTTCCTAAATAGAACACCAGTAGCACAGACTCTGAGACAAACAATCAATCAATGGGACCTCTTGAAACTGAGAAGCTTTTGTAGAGCAAAGGATACGGTCAACAAGGCAAAGCGACAGCCTACAGAATGGGAAAAGATCTTCACCAACCCCACATCTGACAGAGGACTGATATCCAGAATATATAGGGAATTCAAGAAATTAGACATCAAAATGCCCAACAGTCCAATTAAGAAATGGGCTATAGAACTAAACAGAGAATTCTCAACAGAGGAAACTCAAATGGCCGAAAGACATTTAAGGAACTGCTCAACATCCCTAATCATCAGGGAAATGCAAATCAAAACAACTCTGAGATACCACCTTACGCCTGTCAGAATGGCTAAGATCAAAAACACTGAAGACACCTTATGCTGGAGAGGATGTGAAGCTAGGGGAACTCTCCTCCACTGCTGGTGGGAATGCAAGCTTGTACAACCACTTTGGAAATCAATATGGCGCTTTCTTAGAAAATTGGGAATCAATCTCCCCCAAGATCCAGCTATACCACTCTTGGGCATATACCCAAGAAATGCTCAACCACACCATAAGAGCACTTGTTCAGTTATGTTCATATCAGCATTGTTTGTAATAGCCAGAACATGGAAACAACCCAGATGCCCTTCAACTGAAGAATGGATAAACAAAATGTGGTACATATACACAATGGAATACTACTCAGCAGAGAAAAACAATGGCATCATGAGGTTTGCAGACAAATGGATGGATCTAGAAAAAATCATCCTGAGTGAGGTAACCCAGACTCAGAAAGACAAACATGGTATGTACTCACTCATAGCAGGATACTAGACATGAAACAAGGATGACTTGTCTGCTACTCACATCACCAGGGAGGCTACCTGGAAAACAGGACCCCAAGAAAGACACAGGGATCACCCAATGACAGAGAAATGGAATGAGATCTACATGAACAGCCTGGACATGAGTGGGGGTAATGAAAGGCGAGGGTTGAGGGAAAGAGAGCTTGGGGGAGCGGGAGATCCCAGCTGGATCAACAACAGAGAGGGAGAACAAGGAATAGGAGACCATGGTAAATAAAGACCACATGAGAATAGGAAGAAGCAAAGTGCTAGAGAGGCCCACAGAAATCCACAAAGATACCCACACAACAGACTGCTGGCAGAGGTCGAGAGACAGCCTGAACTGACCTACTCTGGTGATGGGATGGCCAAACACCCTAATTGTTGTGCTAGAAACCTCATCCAACTACTGAGGGATCTGGATGCAGAGATCCATGACTAGGCCCCGGGTGGATCTCTGCGAGTCCAATTAGCGAGAATGAGGAGGGTTTATATGAGCGAGAATTGTTGAGACCAAGGTTGGATAAAGCACAGGGACAAATAGCCAAATGAATGGAAACACATGAACTATGAACCAATGGCTGAGGGGTCCCCACTGGATCAGGCCCTCTGAATGGATGAGACAGTTGATTGGCTTGATCTGTTTGGGAGGCATCCAGGCAGTGGGACCAGATCTTGTGCTCATTGCATGAGTTGGCTGTTTGAAACCTGGGGCCTATGCAGGATTGTTTGGCTCGGCCTGGGAGGAGGGGACTAGACCTACCTGGACTGAGTCTACCAGGTTGACCTCAGTCTGTGGGGAAGGCTTTGCCCTGGAGGAGATGGGAATGGGGGGGGGGGGTTGGGGGGAAGGTGAGGGGGACGGGAGGGGGGAGAACAAGGGAATCCGTGGCTGATATGTAGAACTGAATTGTATTGCAAAATAAATTAATAAAAAAAAAAAAAAAAAGAAATAAAAAAAAAAAAAGACAAACTAAGTCAATGAAGCTGTTTCATGCCACTGCTTCTCATCTTCTCACCTTGGGTAGGGATCCCTGACTACCCTGTTCACATCAATGAGGGAGAAGAGAGGACTAGAGACTGCCAGGACAATCAGCAGTTCCTGCTCTTGACTCCCTTAATGGGAAGCTGAGCAAGTCTCTGCTTCTCTGGCTTCTGGCAGCTCACTTATCATATATGTGTATATTTCTTCCACAGAGACTTGTGAGGGCAAGTGATGTTCTGACTGTGCCAGCTGTTTGTAAAAGTCATCACCGATAGAACCTTCTTCTTTGGGTTATAATTCTTTGGCCTTTTTGCAATGGTAAAATGCAGAAAAACAACCCAATTTCTGTAGTTTGTAACATCACAAATCAGTCCCCAAAGTGCCTAGGTTAAGAAAACACAGTCCTTGACTTCTGTCTTTATGAAGGCTGCTTGATAGGAAGGAAGATGAATGTCATACTTTACACTCTTCATTTGTGCACACACAGGCAGAGAGGAGATAGAGCATGCCTCCATTACCTAGACACTGTCCCAGCAAATACACTCAACCCACTCTCTGACTTACAATGTGAAACTATCCCAACATGTTCTCATGCTTTGTGGTCCATGCAGATTCCTCCTCAATGCTTCAGGTTTCTAAAGTCAGGCTTAGTTATTCCAGATGGTAATTTACTCCCATTGTTCTGTATCTAATTTGAATATACCCTTTCTTATTGTGGTTTCTTAATAAGGAAGACTCACTGAGTCCAACTCTGCAAGGAACTGAGAAAGCCTGAGGTTGACCAGACTTGACCATCTGGCCACTATCCAGATTGCTTTTTCTTACTTTTATTGTCCAAAGGGAATAAATATTCTGCAGTATCTTCACTGTTGTCTTTCCAGATTTTCTCTCTAGGTGTTAGGGGCTAAATGTATGTCCTTGGATGTTCTGACAGAAGGTATATTATTACTATTAGTCATATTGCATTACTTCCTTCTAAGAAAAAGGAATGGGTCAAAGTCCTTGGTTTGAGCTCTCATAATTCATGCTTCTAAAGTTGAAACTTTATTTTCCATTTTTAAGAAGCTCTAATAAAAACCTTTATGATTTCATCCCCTACATTATTTGGGAATTTTCCCACAACTTCTCACTATTACCATGTAAACCCTTATTCTAGACTTTTAATCCCATGCTCTTCTTTGCCTTTACTTTATTCAGCCCTGACTTTCCCCTAAGAACTCCAACCAGACAGAATGAAAGATTTTCAAAGATAGGAAAAAGATCATTATTTTGTAAAAACTAAAAACTTTCAATGCAGTCTTTAGAAATACTTACAGTCAAAACAGCCTTGGGGGTAGAGCAGTCATTGCTGACTTCGAAGGAATGATGGTAGTAAAACTGTTGAGTTGGTTTAGGTGACTTGTTCTGCTCACACTGCTCTGAGGCAGGATGCAAACCAGCCAGGCTGACAGAGAGGATAATGATGCCGATGAAAGCAAATAAAACACTCAGGATGTTCATAGTCAGGCTGCCGTCCACCTGAAATGAGCAACAGGTTACGCTTACACCTTTTTTCCAAGATGTTGCACCACAATTCTTCATTTGTCTTCATTAGGAGCTGAGAGATTAATAATTTATTTCCCTATTCTCCCTAAGTCGTAATTGTGATCACTAGAAAGAGGAGAGGCCCTGCTTTTCCATCCTTATGTTCCCTATGCTCCATTTCCTAGATAATATTTGCTCAGACCACTTTACCCAACCTCTACAATATGTATCTGGCCCAAAGAATGTCTAGGAACACACCAACCCAAAGCGTAAATGGCAGTTGGGTGGGCAAACAGGATTTCAATAAAGAGAAAGAATATATTCCCTTGGAAAATCTTCACCCATGACTTTTAATAGAACCCCTCAATGAAAAACTGGAAAATTTTCAAGACAGTGTGAGCAAAGGAGGTGGTGCAGACACCAGCTGTGTTTCCTGTCCCTCCACATCCCCAGTGCTGTAGTTTGGAATTCTTGCAGCCTGAGACCCAAGTATTAAAGACCTGGTCCCCAGGTAAATGTTACTGTGAGATGTCAGAACCTCTAGGAAGTACTGGGCCTCACCTCCTGATCAGAGGTTGGTCATCAGAGAAGAACCTACAAAGGGGGTATATCAGAAATGGTACCTTCATCTTAATCTCTCTTTTCTCCCTTACTGCCGTGTGGCACACAGCTTTGCAATCTCAGCATGAGACACTCACTGCCTATCTCCAAGCTCAGAACAAATGGATCCACCAAAAGCATGCACTATTGAACCTCCAAATTTTGAGCCCAAACAAAGCATTCCTCTTTTGGATTTGAGTTATCCCAAGAGTTGAACTTGGATACACCTAATACCACCTAATATACTCAGAATAACATACTCTGACCACACCCCACACATGGATGCATCAACCACACAGAAAAGGCAGGTAAAGCAGTTCATTCCTGAATACTACCTCAGAAGCTCATATGACGAATGTTGAGTGTGGGGACTTTGTTCTCAGTGTCAAGTAGGCTTTGAAAGTCTGGAAAGGCTTATGATTGGCTATAACCAGGGCCATGTGTAGGTGGATGTAGATAGAAATCTAGACATGTGACTAAGGATATTGTCATTTGTGGACACAGTGCGAGACAGAAAGAAACAGATTTGGAATTAGATGTTGGTAAATTGAGGCCACAGTGCCAGAGTTCCACGGTCTTTCATTGTTCTTGAGTACTCATTCCCAATGTTCACTTTGGATCTCATCTCTACAATGTTCATAGTGTCAGCAAAATAAATAAACTTTTCTCAATAGTGGCTTCCTTTCTTCCTCAACTTACAGAAAATGAAAGTTGAGCTAAGACCTGTCTGAAAGCTATGGTTACAGGTAAGTATTTCCAGGGTGTACCAAGGTATCTTGCACTGGAGTGTGATTTAATTTCAGGATACTTATATTTTAGACTGATTGTACAAATCACTCATGATTTGATGCTTTTGAGTGCTACTTTCCACAAATAGTGACTAAAGTCAAACTCTTGGACTCCTCTAACAATTGTTGATATCAGGATGCTGATCGTATGTATGTTCTTAGAACAAACTAGGTTTATTCTAGCTGACATTCTTCTTTAGTTTCCATACATAGGATGAAAAGAACATTCTCCAGCATAGCTTAAATGTCTTTCATGAGCCTTATTCTACCTAGAGACCACCTATATCCTCCATTGTTTTAGATGTGGTATTTTACCACAGCAACAGAAAAGTAAGTAGTACTCTGTATATTTGAGAGACTGGTTTAGTCAGATCTTAACTACTGAATCCCCAAGATGTTGCATTACATGGTATTCTCTTCCATGACTTCCTGAATCAACTCCTTGAGGAATGTGATTTGACTGATGACTAAGTGTATCTTTACATATCTCAAAAAATTCTTCCTATAGTCCGTCTTTCTTCCCTCAGTGACTTCAGTTTTCCCCTGGAAAAAGTTAAAAGTCAGTAAAGCCGAATGATTAGCCAAAACACATAACTACTGAGACTTTCTGAATTCAAATATTCTGTTCAAAAATGCATACTCAATCCCAGCAAAAACATTACCTTTATGGAGATATAAATGAGAGATGATTCTCACGTGAACATTTTGTCTGGGACTTTTCATGGATTTTAAGTGGTGAGATTATATAGTATACCCACAACAAATACAACTCTTTAAAAACAAGGACATTAGCTTCATTACTAAAGAGTAAAATTTGAAAGCTTTTATGTTAGACTTTTCATTGCTATGACAAAATGCCTCATATAAACAACTTAAGCACCAAAATATATTTTGTTCACAGGTTCAGAGTCTCAGCCCATCATTGTGGGGTTGGTGTGGCAGAACAGAACAGCTCACAGCATGGTAGTCATGGTTGCCATGGTGGTCGTGGAAGCAGAGTGAGAGGATATCTATGCTAAGCACATTTCAACTTCCCCTGTTTATTCCATCTGGGTATTTATGCTAAGGAATGACAGTATCACATTTTGGAAATAGAACAGCCTGGGAGGTCTTTATTAATCTCCTAGATGCTCCTCAATCAGGTCAAGTTGATGATCAAGGTTAATTATCAGAGCCTGCTGCCTACACAATGGGATCATAAGAAAGCAGGAGTTTTACATGAGATTCCTTGGCACTGGTCTCGGGCATAAGGCACACTATAATTTTGGTCACCATGACAGGAAGAATATGCTCTAAACAGGGATATGGAGAACCCAGAATTAGCCCATGTAGAGAACAAGTAATTATTATTTTTTCATTTTTTTATTTTTTTTAAATTTTATAATTTAATTTAATTTTACATATCAGCCACGGATTCCCAGTTTGTAATTTCAACGTGGAAAGCTTGGCCGTGAAGGGTCTGGGTTTCATCACCATTGGTGCGGGTTGTGACTCTTGTACTCACCAAAGACTTGGTTGACCTTGTCTTCGTGATAACTGACAGAATTCCAGAGATGATAAACTGCTCAGACAAGAGAAAAGTATTATCACATCAATTTCTATGTACAAAGTGACTATAGCATTACTCTCTGGGTTTTATGACAAACTTCCATGGGAAATCCTCAAAGAACAAATGACCAATGATAAACTTGGGTTCCCAGAGGAGTATCATTGCCCATGTACTATTCAGAAAACACAAGACTAGGTAGATTAGAACAGAAATCTATCCCATTAAAATTGATAAAAAAAAACTTTAAGAGGTAATAAAAACATATTTTGTTAATTTGAAAGGAAAATTTCAGAATCAGATGCTTTTTAGATCCTGAGGCATTGGCCTACAGGGAGAGAGAATGGAAAACAGCTATGGGATTTTTGTCCCCTCTTTCATTAAAAGAGCTATGCCACTCTGTATAAACTATGCAAACTTCTCTCAGTAAATCTCATTTGAACATGTTGCAGTATCTTTTTAACATGCAGTTTTCAATGTGCTAGTATTTTCTCGAGGAGTTTTGCAGCTACCATCCTTTAGAATGTTGGCCCACTATCCATTTCCGGTCATGCTCTTGGCTGGCATTACACCATTATCCTAGTGTCAAGACAAGGCTGGTGTCCTAAAATGAGTTTGGGAGAGTACATCTTTCTTCAGATTTTTGTGATAGTTTGAGATCAACTTGCACTAGTTTTGTTGTTGTTGTTTTGTTTTGAATAAGGGAAGATATTAACAAGCACAGAAGAAAAGAAATAGAACTTTCAGTGGCTGGTCCTAGAGACTATGCGAAATGAGAACAAAAGGAAGCATAAGGTTGGATGATGAGAAACCCTTAACATGATTCAGAAAATCAAGAAATAGTTTCTCTCATCCAATAAATTAAAGGAAATCAAGTAGCAAACAATCTTTAGAAATGTTAAAAAAAGCTAGAAATTTTATGATTTCTATTCTCCAAAGTTAAGTAGCTTATCCACATAAATGAATGCTGAGTCTTTATCTCTGTGATGCTAGGGTCTGTGCGTTCTATGCATGTGTTCAACTGCTGAGCTACATCCACAGCCTCACATGCAGAGTCTTTCAATATGACTCTTTTATTTATTAAAAAATAAATAAAACTAACAGTTACCAAGTGCCTCTATTAATGCAACGGATGCTAGTGATATGTAAAGAGCACAATATGGAGAGGAGGAAAAAATAAAGTAACAGCCTGACCTAGGAATCACCACATCAGCCCCATGATCCAGGTTAAGTCAACAGTGAAATGATGTAAACAGTATGCACCCTTCATAGAACCAGACAGTATGGCATATCACTGCTGTCACCTGAACAGTCACCATTCTGTGCTCACTTAAAGATTAAGAAGATATCAGACAAATTCAAACGTAGAAATATTTCACAAAATCCTAACCAGCACAACTCAGAAACTGTCAAAGTCACCAAGGATAGGGAAAGCCTGAGAAGATCCAAATGAGGAAGTCTAGTGGAGACTCTGGAACAACTAGTGGAATGCAGTGTCTTTGAATGGAACCTGGGACAGAGGACATTCATGAAAAACTGGTGGAATCAGACGTTGTATTGGCCTGAGATGACTAACGCAAAAATCATCGGCACAACAGAAGGAAAGGTAGAGCTGTGGATGCATCAAAGAAAGAAACATAGGAAAGGAGGAAAAAAAAAACATTTCTGAGCGGCAGTAAGCCGATGGGAAGCCACAGAGACAGGAAACCTCACTTGTGCCTGAGACTCATCCAAATCAATCTAGAGGAGAGCTGTCCTCTGAGACAAGGATCTTCGTGTTCTCCTGACCCCAGACATAGAGCAGTCTCTGAAGAATTTCTAGTCTATCACCTCACGTGCTTCCAACAGAGCCAGATTCTAAAAATGATTCTTCCTGCAGTATGGTCCACTGGGTGTCAATGCACTATACAGAAAGCTCTAGACCATGTGGATTCCACTCTCTGGACTTTTCCCTAAACCTACTCAGCCTCTATACTCATCATAGCTCAACAGGTTGAGATGAAAAGGTGATATTAACAGAAATGCTTATTTGAAGTAGATGAATAGAATCTTCAGAATGGTATAACCTCTTCCCTAATACATCAGGATTGTCTGTGGGTGATATACAGAAGAACAAAATCTACCATCGACCTCGTTCTCAAAGTAAACAGAAATTGAGATAGGTGACCTCTCCTTCCTCTGTTCTCCCCAGCTGGCTCCCCATAAAACTCTACTTACAAACAAGGCTCCTACAAATGGATAGCCAGATTTTAACAGGACAGAAAACACTGGGGTAAAGTGTGGGACTGTGGGGACAGATGCCAAAATGATGCCGAGACTCAACACCATCACACCACACATGATCTGGATCGCCTGTTGAAGGAAGAGAGATGGGAGATTAAAGTCAGCAATGACAAGCAGAACCTCTCCACTCCTCCCATGGTGCTGATGTATTTTCACCTTCTACAACATCACTGTTAGCACTGCAAAATCTCTGGGGTGTGAAAGAGGAAAGTTCATTCTGTAGGGCATGTGGTTCTGCCACAGCCTCAGGCCACCTTCAGGTATTTTTGTCTACACCCCCCTGGCATGCTCAAGACCCTTCCTAGCATCTCCTGGCTGGGGCTGAGCTTTGAGTCCCCAGTTAGTCAGTCTCCTGCTCCCTCTAGTGGGAAGAAGAGTGATCTGAAAGTCCTTCCACCCTGAGCACTTTCTGGTGGAAACCTCTTCCTCCTCACCCAGAGCCCATAGAACACATCATACAACCAGCCTATCTGCCCAGCTCCACAGAGGTTTCCGTCCATGTGTCTGGGGGTCCCTAGCCTCTGTACTAAAGGGCAATTTTTGTCTTCCTGACATCCTCCTTTCCCTCACAGACTCACAGCCCTATAAGTTTGGTTAAGCAATTTTTAAAGTTTTGTTACATGTAGTTCAAAGGAATCCAGATGATGGTATGCCCAAGGCAAGGCCATCAGTTCCATTAAGTTCTGAAACTGGGTGATACAGAGGCCCATGAAGATAGTGTTAGGACAGACAACACTGAAAAACAGCACAAAATTGTTGCTAGAGTTTTCCTGCCTGGCCCACAGTCAGGACAAATCTCTCTCACCCGCCAGTCCCAAGCCGCTCAAACCCGATCAAATAAACACAGAGACTTATATTGGTTTCAAACTGTATGGCCGTGGCAGGCTTCTTGCTAACTGTTCTTACAGCTTAAATTAATCCATTTCTATTAATCTATACCTTGCCACGTGGCTTGTGGCTTACCGGTACTTTACATCTTCCTTATCCTGATGGCGGCTGGCAGTGTCTCCCTCCCCAGCTTTCTGTTCTCTCAGTATTCCTCTCTGTTAGTCCCGCCTATACTTCCTGCCTGGCCACTGCCAATCAGTGATTTATTTATTGACCAATCAGCAACACATTTGACATACAGACCATCCCACAGCACCTCCCCTTTTCTTTTCTTAAAAAGGAAGGTTTTAACCTTTACACATCTCCAAAGTCAGCTTGGTATATTTGGGAATTTGGGCGTAGCTTCTCTTACTACTTCCTGCTGGAGGGGGGCGCTGTATCTTCTGGGGAAACAAAGAAAATTTTAGGATCATGGAGTAGTCTGTGAGGCTGTATCATCTGAGCCAGTTGTCTTGAAACGGTTCTGGATGTTGGATCATCTGGGCCATGGTGTCATCGGAGACCTTTCAGGGGGTCTTGGCTGGTCAAACCTGATGTATCTTACTCTGGAACAAATCCATAGCCTCTTGCTTTCTGTGGAAACAAAAGAGACTCTTTTCCAAAGCAACATATCCTTACATCCAGATTTTGAAGTCAAAGTATCTTTAAAATATACGTACTGGTTTAACTCAGCTTCCTTTACAATCAAACATCTCTCTGTAGTTAAGAATCCCAAAGACAACACAATCCAGACTCTCTGTGTAATAGTCATCTCTACGTGGGTTATTTTTTATATTAATTTTACTGTCTCTTTAAAGACTTTATTTTTTAAAACCATGTATTTGTTTCTATACTGTATATATCACCTTTTTTTGTCTCTTTCAAGCCTACGTATATTTTACACACATTTTAAACTATTACATCTGAATCTGTCTTATTGTGAATCTATTGTTTTAAGCTACAGCAGCTGTGGCTGCTGGCTCCGCCCACCGCAGCTTCCCAACATGGCGTGGTACTTTACCACCAGCTCTGGGAGCTATCGTGGGTCTATGCTTTTATCCAAGCAGCGTGTAGCCCAGAAACCTCTTTTTTTGTTTTGTAGTAGCAAAGGCTAAATCCACAATGTAGCTTAATGTGCCACTTGCAGAGGCCTCATTCCCGCCATACTGCAGGTCGAGCGCGCACGCCAGCAACCCGCCAGTAGCTCAAACCGGCAGCTGCCGCTCATTTGAGAGAGACAATTAGGAAGCTGTTTTTAGCTCCGTTTTAGAATCTTTTTTCTCAGGTTTTAGGTGGAAACTCTTGCCACCACGTTGGACGCCATTTGTTGCTAGAGTTTTCCTGCCTGGCCCACAGTCAGAACAAATCTCTCTCACCCGCCAGTCCCAAGCCGCTCAAACCCGATCAAATAAACACAGAGACTTATATTGGTTTCAAACTGTATGGCCGTGGCAGGCTTCTTGCTAACTGTTCTTACAGCTTAAATTAATCCATTTCTATTAATCTATACCTTGCCACGTGGCTTGTGGCTTACCGGTACTTTACATCTTCCTTATCCTGATGGCGGCTGACAGTGTCTCCCTCCCCAGCTTCTTGTTCTCTCAATTTTCCTCTCTGTTAGTCCCGCCTATACTTCCTGCCTGGCCACTGCCAATCAGTGATTTATTTATTGACCAATCAGCAACACATTTGACATACAGACCATCCCACAGCACAAAATATATGTTCTTTCTCATATCTTTCGTTTACCCAAAAACGTGCCTTTAGTTAGTTGGGATGAGCACAGAGGGACAAACAAATGGTGTTTTTGTGCCATCTCTTCTCTCTAAAGAGGAGAAGGGTATTCTACACTCAATGAGCACCGATAATGTATCTACAAACTATTTTTATAAATGAAATACTAACAAGTACTCTCCAAAAATGAAAACAAAAAATTATTTAAATAACAAAATCTCAGTGACTCATTTTTGCAATAAGGGGAAATACTTGTCAATTTTTGGAAAGTCTTAGAGATATAAGCAGCTTACCAAAGGCTTTCTACTAGTCTACAGACCACTCTGTGATCACTGTGTCAAAACCAAAGGCTTTCCATACCCCAAATCTATTTCTAGTCTTAAGACACAGTGTCTCCTCTCTCTGCCCTCCACCCACCCTAGAGCATTCTGAGTTGGATTTAACGCAATCACTTTGACCTCTGCCTTTAGATATTTCTTCAGGCTCTCTTGCCTCTGCTCAGTAGGCTGGGGCTTGTCTGTTTGGGGAAAGTTGGCTCCATTTGGTGAAATCACTGTAACAGTCTCATTGGTCACAATTTGTGGGATCATGATAGAGCTTCCACAGCTGGAAGAGAAAATGCACTGAGCTCTTTAAAAGAACTGTGATCATTGTAGGAGTTTTATTGTTTTACTTTGCTTGTTTGGTTGGTTAATTGGTTTTGTTTTATGTTTGGTTGTTTGCTTTTGTTTACCTATTAGTTTGAGAGAGAGAGGGAGAGAGAGAGAAAGAGAGAGAGAGTATGAAGTTTAATGGGAAGAGAGGACCAGAATATATTGCATGAATTTTCAATAAAAAATTAAATACTTTACTCTGAATCCAAAAATATCCAACCAACCAACAAAACAAAAAACCCAACAAACCATGCTCCCAGGTTCTGCTGCCACCTCCCAGACTGTGCATCTCTCTGGATTCTTGGACCTGTCCTCTGTCAGAAGAAGCTGGTGGTACAGAGAAATGAAAAACCACTATACCTTGGGTTCCTGAGGTCTTTCCTCATAGTATTAGACATGGCCCACTGATTTTTTTTCAGATAATAAACACATCATAGGAAGGGACAGCATGAATTCCCAGAGGTTCCTGTGTTCATACCTAAGTGTTCACACATAATTTGCAAAATGTAGCTCCAGCTCTTTCCTCAATTCTACCTACTTCAAGTGCATTTTCTTTATTCAATGACTTTCACCTTCAGCTTACTCTGCTCATCATGAGATATTAAAATTCAACCTTCAATGTTTTGTAATTCATGCTAAATAGCACTCAAAATACTTAATTCTATTTGTGTATTTTGTGTGTCTAAAAGAACTGCTTTTAGAATTAGCACTTCATATTTTATCATATTTTTGTAGAAGTGATCTTGCAGTATTTTCAATCCTCAAAACAATCCTTTCTCTCAATGAACAAAATCATAATCAGTAAGAAAATCCAGAGTCAAAGTTTTGATGTACATGTGGAAGTAATTCACGTTTGTATGATGACATAAAATCAATGTGAAACAAATATTTAAAGGTCTTATTATTACTCAGTTGCCTACACACAGTTGGGTGCTGGACCCCAGCTGTCTCTGACTCTGGTTCCTCTCCCATTTTTGTCATCTGTCAATGGCATCCTGTTTCTGATTTTCTTTAGTGTGAAGAAGCATCTGGATGCAGTGGTGTGGGGTCCTGAAGTCATAATAATCTGAGGTTCAAGTTTAGAACCATGTCCTTGTTAACTGGAAGAACCAAGTTGCCTGTGGAATTGGTTTCTAAGCTCAGCTTGGTGTTGTGGGATATTTTGATGGCACTTTGACCCACCCAAGCCTGCCCAATAAAGTTATACCTTGAATCAGGGGCCAGAGCCAGTGACTAGCTGACTGGAATTGGCCATAGGGAAGCCAGGAATTTGGATAGTGAAGATGTACAGGGAGGAAAGAGTAGGGAATGGAGTTTGAGCTTCCTCTTAGTACTGAGACGAGAAAAAAAAGACGTGTCTCTTATGGTGTTTCTGACCCTTAGAAAACTGGGAATCCATCTCCCCCAAGATCCAGCTATACCACTCTTGGGCATATACCCAAGGAATGCTCAACCACACCACAGGAGCACTTGTTCAGCTATGTTCATATCAGCATCCTTCGTAATAGCCAGAACATGGAAACAACTTAGATGCCCTTCAACTGAAGAATGGATAAACAAAATGTGGTACATATACACAATGGAATACTACTCAGCAGAGAAAAACAATGACATCATGAGGTTTGCAGACAAATGGATGGATCTAGAGAAAATCATCCTGAGTGAGGTAACCCAGACTCAGAAAGACAAACATGGTATGTACTCACTTATAGGAGGATACTAGATGTGGAACAAGGATGACTGGACTGCTACTCACATCACCAGGGAGGCTACCTGGAAAACAGGACCCCAGGAAGTACATGGGGATCACCCAATTACAGAGAAATGGAATAAGATCTACATGAACAGCCTGGACATGAGTGGGGGTAGTGAAGGGCGAGGGTAGAGGGAGAGAGAGCTTGGGGGAGCAGGAGATCCCAGCTGGATCAACAACAGAGAGGGAGAAAAAGGAATAGGAGACCATGGTAGATGAAGACCACATGAGAATAGGAGGAAGCAAAGTGCTAGAGAGGCCCCCAGAAATCCACAAAGATACCCCCACAACAGACTGCTGGCAATGGTCGAGAGACAGCCCGAACTGACCTACTCTGGTGATGGGATGACCAAACACCCTAATTGTTGTGCTAGAAACCTCATCCAACTACTGAGGGATCTGGATGCAGAGATCCATGGCTAGGCCCCGGGTGGATCTCTGGGAGTCCAATTAGCGAGAATGAGGAGGGTTTGTATGAGGGAGAATTGTTGAGACCAAGGTTGGATAAAGCACAGGGACAAATAGCCAAACGAATGGAAACACATGAACTATGAATCAATGGCTGAGGGGTCACCAACTGGATCAGGCCCTCTGAATGGGTGAGACAGTTGATTGGCTTGATCTGTTTGGGAGGCATCCAGGCAGTGGGACCGGGTCCTGTGCTCATTGCATGAGTTGGCTGTTTGAAACCTGGGGCCTATGCAGGATCGCTTGGCTCGGCCTGGGAGGAGAGGACTGGACCTACCTGGACTGAGTCTACCAGGTTGATCTCAGTCCGAGGGGGAGGCTTTGCCCTGGAGGAGGTGGGAATGGGGGGGTGGGCTGGGGGGAAGGTGAGGGGGGCAGGAGGAGGGAGAACAAGGGAATCCATGGCTGATATGTAGAACTGAATTTTATTGCAAAATAAAAAAAAATTAAAAAATAAAAAAGCAAGTAGCAGTTGCTACTCAGTCTCTCTGACTAGCAGGTTTTCAGGCCAGCCTTTGATTTCTGCCTCTTATTGATAAATACAATGATAGAGACTTAAATCAAACCTACATATGGCGGCTGCAGCAGAGCCATGGCCATGGGACCAGAAGCCCTGCCAGGCCATGACCTGAGTGGCCAGCATGGTGATGACTAAGGGACTGTACGGTGGCAGATGGTAATTAAAATATCCGTAGATTCATTGTAGCCACTAAGCCAACAGAAAAACATCAGCTTGGCTCTCTTTTCTCTGTGCCATTCTCAGCCCTTAGGCTGCCCAGTTAGTGAATGGCCTCAGAGCCTTTGCAGGTACAGGAGTTCTGCTCCCATTAATCACATGGTCTTAGGGCAGTGACCAGCAAGATCATGAGGCTTGAAACAGCAGGGACAGAGGTAAGTCAGATGCCCTGTCCCTTTGCCCATTTAGTTCTGAAGTGCCCCGGGGTCTCCATCTCTTTCATAAGCATCAACAATTTCCCCTAATGAGGACCCAGAAAGAGAGTGCTGCACAGGAGAAAGCCTCTTCAGGGTTGCCTACCTGAGCCTGTGTGCCTCTCTGTCTGCCCCCTCAGGGCTCTCAGGATTCCCAAGAGATTTTAGTGCTGGGTTCTCTAGTCTGAACCTTGGTTCTTACTCTTGAAGTTCTGACCCTCCCCAGTCCTTCCTCTTTCAGTGTTAACTACCGCACAGGATGTGATGCTTACAGACTGTGGCCATGCGAATGTAGCTGCACTTCCTGTTTCTGAAATTCCCCAGAACTTCAGAAAAATCACCAATCTAAACAGCGCTGGAAGCGTGTGGGGTGGTGAGCTCCAACCCCACCAGCTCCAGGTAATGCCCAAGTCCACGTTCTTGAACTTTAGTTGTCTAAGAGTTAAAGAGAGAACAACAACAAGCTGGGGAAACATATGAGCTGAAAGTGTCTTTGAAAGGCCTGTCTTGCTTCTAAGTAGTATTTAATGAACTGTAGTGATTACTAATGATATTTCCAGTCATAGTAATATTGATGAATAAAACATTTCACAATATACAATAAAGTATAATGATAATAGTAATCATGACCTTAGGCTTTGAAAGAATATTTAATAATATATAATCAATGGTAAAAATTGAACATATTACAATACTTTTGGTACTTTTTTACATATATATATATATATTTACTAATTCCTCAGCCTCTGAAAAAGCTACAAGCAACCTTGCAGAACTCATTGATTGCTACCCACTTTAGAGCTCTTCTAATTTTCATCTTCTAACTTACTTCTAGACCACTGGACTTCTCTGACTGTGGAGGTGCCCAGGGAATAACTGGACACTATTAGGAAAGTAACATATCAGGACAGGAGCAAGTGGGAAAGTTTCAACACACCATGAATGACTTCAGCAATCCCACACTCAGGATGCTGTCATGAAGACAGATGTCCTTGTGCCTTTCAGGCACAGTTCAGAAGCTGACTTTGACAGTAATTAATTGTACAGGGGAACCAGAGCCAGATGCAGCAACTTTACAAACACACTCTGGAAATTTCCAGAAAGAACCCAGGGATCCAGCATGAGCTGTCACTGTCACATCAGAGGGTTGTAGATCCTGAAGTACCTGTACGAACTCTTCTGAATAAGTCCTGCTTCAATTCTAGAGAAGATTGGGAGACTGGATTCTCTAAGAAATCTGTTAAAGGGGCTTTCTGAGCTGGTGTTTATTCTCCTTTCCCAGGAAGCCTGTGGCCACTGTCCTTTACCCATCATGCCCTGTGCCCTCCTCACTGTCCCAGGACCCAGTGAATTGGTGAGATACAGCTACTCTTCGGAGCTTTGACAAAGTAGAAGTGTGGCCTCTTGGGGGCAAAAACACCCACTTTTGTTTGCAGGAGAATTTGTTAATAAACTAGTTAAATCTGTCTACTCAAGATTCCTCTCCAGTCTATTTTTCATCTCCATGCTCTCACAATTTTAAGTGTACATAAGGACATTTTCCCCATCCATCCATTTCCACCATCAATCTCCTCTTCTCCCCATCCTAGGGCTTTTGTGCTTTATTTGGAGAGGGGACTTTTACACTCTGGACAAAAAGCTGCTCTCTCTAGTCTCAGCTTAGTTCCATCCTGCCCTTATACCCTCAGAATCCAGCACCTGTACCTGGAGATAAGAAAGTCATTAGCAATAACATGTTCTGTTTAGTCAACTAGGCTCCACTATTCACAATCTCCTATTCTCTCTAAGCACCTTAGCAAATGTTCTGCTCCTCTGCCCATCACCCCCAATGGGAAACGCCTCTTCACATTCTGCCTTCATTTAGGATTGCTGTTTTCTCTTTTTTCCCAAGCCAACATGTACCGTCTCTGGTGATTAATCATTTTCTCTTTGCTTAACTCTTCTCCACCATAGACTACCTGCTGTCTGATGTTTTGTAATATGCTTTTCTAGTTGTTATGCTTTCTGGATTTGATCCTTATTTTCCCTTTCTAAGTATAGGCATGTGGAGTTTAACTTGCCTTAATTCTATCTCAAAATAATTCTCCTAGCATCTTAATCTTCTTCATGTAATAATCACATCTCATAACCATCTCAGAATAAAAATCTAAAACTAAGCTTCTATATTTAGTCTCTCATACTCTTCACCATTCAGATTCCTATATCACTGCTTCCCTCCTCCACAATGTTATCAATATTTAGCTTTATTAAAGACTCAAACACTCAATATATCAGTCAAACTGTTGTCTGTATAACTATCTTTTAAGGTGTTAACAGCTTGAACCAATTTCCTCTTTGGTCTTTTGATGTAGGATCCTGTGTAGCCCAGGTTGGCTTCTACCTCTCTATGTAATGGAGACTGGCCTTGTGCTGGGATCTAGGCACACATGCCCCACTCCAAATGTGGAGTAGATGTTTATCTACATGTGTTATACATGATCATTTCTTGTCATTTCCATTGACTGCCTTTAAACTCATATTCATCAATTTATTCATCATCAGTTTATTATTCATTCATCACACATGTCTTTCTGAACCACAGATATACTCATAGGTTCTCTGATTTTACCTATCCAACTCAATAGACTGAGTGACTTAATACCTACTAGTCACCAATTGGTAATCATCACTGAACAATAACTGTGTCAGTGAATGTACTGATGAATCAACAGGATGCATCTTTTTGGTAAAACTTTATGTCTTTGAAAAACCATTATCAGTGATGATGCAAAATATTTCCACATAGAACGTCAGAAAATTGTGTCACTTATCCAGAGGGAACTGTTTAGGAGGCCCCCAGGGAATGGGACCAGGACCTGTCCATGGTGCATGTGCTGGCTTTTTGGAACCTAGGGCCTATGGAGAGACAGTTTGCTCAGCCTTGGTGCAGGGAGGAGGGGACTGGACCTGACTCAACTGAATCTACCAGGCTGGGCTGACTCTCCAGGGGAGACGTTGCCTTGGAGGAGGTGGGAATAGGGGGAAGGGTTGGGGGGGGTAAGGCTGAAGGTGGGAAGAGTGAGGAAAGGGGAATCCATGGCTGATATGTAAAATTAAATTAACTATAAAATAAAAATATTTATTAAAAAAA